CGGGCATGTTGGAATCTAAATAATTATGTTTACTAAATAAACACAACACTAGAGGTCTACTTATTGATACACACTGGTGCTTTGGTTATTTCAAACGTGGCAATTTGAAGTAGAGGTTTCACAATCTACTCCAAGGAATTTTACTTTTCTATCTGTTGCAGTCTTGATGTACCATCATGATAAAAAAATCCTTGTTAAGGAGTTGTCTGTAAAATTGGAGTTTTCTTACTGTTGAGTTTTTGGTTTTGTTTTCTCTAGTAAACCCTGTTTATTAAGTTGTTACAGACGTAGCAAAAGGAATGTATACGCAGATGTTACATTGTTTGACTTCAAGATTAGTTTAACAAATTGTGGCTCAGATTAGTTACATTTACTTGAGTTTATACAAGGCTTTCAGACCTAATTTCCGAAGAAGTGCATAAGCTGTTCAGCATGTATGCACTAGCATTCCGAAATGTGCACATGATTACTGGAAATGTATATAGAACTGATGGGAAGAACCAGTTGTTCAAGTGGGTATAGCTGTGGGAACAATAAAGGATTGTGCATATAAACAAGCTGCACAAATGTTCACAAAAACCTGGGGGTTTAATGCTTACAGGGTTACTATTCTGACAGTGAGCAAGAAGACTCAAATGTTAACCTTGCTTAAGGCCAGCTCTAGGCACCTGAACCCAGGAATGTGAGGAATATTATCTTAAAAATACTATAACAATCTGTAAACTATAGTTATCTCTTATGTATTTATTTATAGAGCTGCTTAGTTTTTTTTTGCTTCTGTTTGTGTTGAGAAATGCCTTGGCTTTTATAATGCTGAAGAGTTTGGTGCCTACCTTGTGCTGAAACCTGAATTTTCAGCTTTCTGGCAAACTTGCTGAGAGCCCACCAGATTATTTGTATCATACTTGCGGGGAAAGAAATCTTTCTCCATATAAAGTAGATGCCACTCTCTTAAATCTAGTTATTCAACTGTGACCTGGCTTGTTTTTCAAAGAACTGAGATGTCAAAAAATCCATCTGACCTGCACAATGAAAAACATTAGAGACCCCTCAAAGAAGTACAGTAAGGGGAAACCAGCAAAATCTGTTACTTAGTGGGCAGTGTTTACAAATGTCTTTGTAGCATAAGGGCATAGTTAAACAGGAATGTGTTGATTTTTCAGTGAAAGATTTTAATCCTTATTGTGAGTGGTTTGAAAAAAAAAGTCTCTAATTAGAATAACATAGGAATTCAAGTAAATTTAAAATCTCTTAGGAAACTTGCCTGTGACTTTTTCTGCTGTGGGAAAGATGTATTGTATGTACCCAGATTATTCTCATGCATCTCAGTGTGTAGATGATGTGGAGCTTCCATATCAATTCTTCTGTGTTTTTCACTGAATCAATTGATTTATACAGTTACAGGCACATGGCAGGACATTGTCTTGTTGCAGTTTTAAGCTTTCAGAGCTTATCTGGGTGTGGTCTGGTGTGACTTTCTCAGTTGGTATCTGACAATCTGGTTTGTGGAATCAGTTTTGCAAGAATGATGTTATAGCAATCATGCAGCCCTAGTGCTTCATAGCTGCATGCTTCTCAAGCACAGAGGTGTGTTCCTTGCCCTTTACAGGCAAGAAAGCTGGAGCGTGGAAGTCCCTAAACAACTCAATGGCATGATTTCAATGTCAGTGTAGCAGCCACTGAATCTCACCACGTACAGACTGTGTACATTTCTTAGCCAGAAAGTACAATACTTCTCCCTATTGTCATTCTGTAGGACAGTCCAAGTTTTCTATCTCAAGGAAGACTGACTGCTAATGTTCAGTGAACACTGTGCTCAGTGAGAGTCATGCTACAAATCCTGCCTGTAAAGAAGACCACTGTGGCTGTGGAAGTCCCATCTGGTGACTCAAAAATATTTGTCTAAATCTGTTTCTCCACCGGATTGCTTTGTTTTGACACAGCAGTTTCTTTTTGTGCAACTAATTGTGTTTTTACTCATAAATAAACCAATCACTTTGACTTATGTAAGTTTTTCAAATGTTTCTCTGGAGTTTAAAAAGAAAAAAAAAAGTTGAAAAATGAAAACATCTAAACGTCTTGTCCATACCATATTCCAATGCAATGACTAACTCAAATGAGTATGTATCTTTTTAAGAAGCAAAAACATGTAAAGAGGCAAATGCTGAAATTCTAACTCTAAGAAGTAATTTGGGGAGCAGAAAAAGGTAAGGTTCTCATGTACCTGAAAATGTAATTGCAGTGTTTCCTCACTGTAATGGTGTATTGCTGCATCCACCCTTCCCTTTGTAAAAAGATGACTGGCTTCAAGTTGGACATTGTTCTAGGCAGCAATTACATCTGAAAGAGGCAAAAGTGGTAATTCATCTGAACCAGGTAGGTCAACCATAAAGCAGATTAATCTAATGGCTTTGTTGCTACTCTGTTGCAAAGTAAGCTGTTGGTCTTTCTGGAAGAATTTTATCTAAAGTATTTTAGAATGGGATCCAGAATAGAAGCTCTGAAATCAATATTAAGACACTTATAAACCACAACTATTATAATTCGATTTGATACTTCTTTTAAACTGCTTCAGAAATGGGAAGGGATTTTGCAATTAGGGAATAATATGACAAGCAAATTGTTCTCTTCCCACAACTTTTACCAGAAATGGATGATTTATCTGTAAATGATGTAGGTCATGCATTCTCTTTATGTTACTAGGACATGCAGACTCACTCTGGGTTTGCTGTAAATACAAGAACAGTCAGTTCAGGGAAAAGAGAAAGCATGTTGATTTAATTGATACTTCTATCACTTGATTCTTGTGTATATTAATAAATTATGTGTAGTCTTGATTGACTTCTATAGGATGGTGAATTCAGTTACATTCTAGCATGTGGTGTCTTTGTGACGATCACATCCTAAATAACTGGCTAAATATATGGGGCAAAATACAGCAGAGTTTCTTGTATTGGACTTGGTGTATAATGCGCCAGTGAGCCTCTTTTTGGATCGTATTTTTTGTTCGGTTTGTTTACTGTCTGGTTTTGTTTTATTCCCTTTGTGCTTCAGAAGATGATATACTTGCTGTATATCACAGTGTAGTTTTGCTTTTGCTGAACAGCATTGTGGTGTGACTTTGGGTCAGTTTATCATTCTTGGTCAGTACTGATTGTACTGTGTCATGCACAAATGAGTCTTTCTGAGCAGTTTCTAACAGGAAAAAACCCGCCACTTCTGCAGACCTTCCAGCTTAGTGTCTTTTTCAATTGCATGGTTAAAAATTATGGTGATGCTTCTGTCCATGGTTTTCCATGATCGCATAATCTATATCCAGTCCTTTTCTATTCCATGAATGTGTACAGGCTTGCTATGTTAGTATTCCTTGATTTTTATTTCTGTCCAGTTCTCCTAGAAGTGTGTGTGGTTTGGTTTTCTGCAAGCATACATTCAACTTCTTCGTAACATAAAAAATATTTTGCTGCAATAGTTGGAGTTTGTTTTAATGATGCTGGGTAGTTCCAGCTTCATGATTAGTGCTGCTGCTGCGTGAAGTGTGTGGGAGGGAAGCAGATTTCAAATACTTGCATTCTGAACCATTTTGGAAGGTGAATGACTTAGGCTTCATTAGGAAACACAGTGCAGAAGAGGAGTTTTTTAGAAAGTAGGTATCAGTTCAAAAAAATCCCTGCAAGCCAACTTTTTAAGGGTTTATATTCCTTATTTGTTTATTTTTCTAGTGATATTAGAGTTCAGAATGTTTTGTTGCAGCAGTACAGTGAGACCTCCATGGTCCTGTAATGGTGATCATGTAAATTTGGTCTGAGCTAGGATACACTAAGCTGAAACTGCTCTGGCTGCAATTGTGGAACTTTCCAAAAACCTGTATGTTTGAGTGAAGAGGGTTTGTAAAACGTATTTTATTATTATGAAGGTGTTTAGTTCCTTTTTCCCTAACGATTTAATACTGAAAGACTTGAGTACTGTTTGCTGCTTAGTTTCTATTCGGGTTACATGGGGTAACTCCCTTCCTTTCTCTCCCATTGTGGTTAACGTTACGTACTGCTTTGGTGCACTTAGAAAGTTTCTGTGAAGTTTTGCTACTGTTCTTTCATGTGGAAATGCATCTGGGTGTATCATTTAGTAAAATCTTCTACAGTATTTTGCAGCACAGAAATTACTTTTCTGCTGAAATCTTTTGCAATTACACATATTCATCTGTTATTGTATCTATCACTGCCTTTTTGATAAGTACTCCTATCTTCTGTAAATGGAATTGGCTGCTTCTGATCAAAGTTATGTGCTAAAATTCCAATTGAATAGAAAATGGAGCACACATACAGTTTTTGAGAAACAATGGGGGAGATACTGTAGGAGCTTTTTAAAAATCAGTTTAATACTAGTGCTGTGAAACCTGAAGCATTGAAAATATTGGAGTTCTACAACAGCTCAGTTATCCCTGATGTCCTGTATCCAGCTATGGTCTACAGTAGATGTTGTCTATTTGAGCGGTGCCCACTCATTTATTAGTGGGGTCTACTCTTATTACTACTACTGCTCTTAAGAAAAAAGAAAGAGAATATTTATGTACCACCTGATTATCTGAAAATGTGTTTGTTCTATGTATTTTGTTACTCAACCTTAATGTCTTCCGTTCTTCACCGTAGTTGAGAGAGAATTCTCAATATTTTTTTGTTTCTATCTTTGATGTTTCTGTTTGTTTGTAATTTGCAGAACACCTACATATTTGCCTTGTCTCAGAACACAGAAAAGGTGTTCTGTATGCTTAGCCAAAATGTGAAACATTTGTCTTGCAAAAGACTTTCTGCGCTTTTTTAGTGTTTCATATATATACTGTCTCAAGTTTGTTAGTGGTGTGGGTATCCTTATGGCTGGATTTCTTTTGGGCATGAAAAGCAGATCTGTGCAGAAGTGACCTGATTTTATGCTGTTAATGTTATATTTAATTTTATTCTGATATAGCACTGTGTTTTACATTACTCTGTATTTTTTCCTAGGCAAACGGAGTGGGCGCAGTAAAAAATGGAAAGAGATGCTGAAGTTGCCACCTGTTAGTCACTGTGAAGGTATTAGATGCTCAATTGGTAGGTGTCGTGCAGAATGATCTGTCTGATTTCCTTGAGAAGGAAGGATAAGAGTTGGGTGATGTTAACTGAAAGGATTCTGTCTTGCTTCTGAATGCTCATTAGCATTTACCACTTTTAATGTGATGGAGAATTTATGAGGAGATAAAAGCTGTTTCACAGCTCCTTGTTTGTTAAAGGAAACTGCTCCTAAAGGATAAATTTACAAAGCTATGAATTTCAAAAAGGAATCATGCTGTAATTTCAATGACATGGTCACATAGTTCCCTTTTCTTCTTAGTGTCTTGTAATAATTATTTAACATTTTATATTACTATCTTGTATTCTTTCTTTCCAAACAATCTTGTTTGCTTTGGAATTGCTATTTCACAATATTGTTGTTTTCCACCCCCCAGCCTGGATTGAATTAAATTTAACCATGTCATTCAATGTGTTTTTAATAAATGTGATAGTCTGTAATACACAAATACGGCTGGAAGTGTTTCACTATTCTTTGGGATCATTACATGTTTTAGATGTCTTTGCTAAATGCGTTAATGTAAACCTCAGGTTTTAGTGATGTTTTTCTGACCTAGTCTCAAAGGGGAGTAAAGGACCATGCTGTGACAAAGATAAAAAGAAATAAAGGTATTTACTTATTATTTCTTCCTCAGAAAGAGACTATAACCAGCTTTGTGACAAACAGCCGATAGGAAGACTTCTCTTCAGACAGTTCTGTGATTCCAGACCAGATCTAAAAAGATGCATTGAATTTCTGGATGCAGTGGTAAGCAGTGAGCAATTGGAGGTGGATATCAGTAGGCAATAGCTTATACATTTTCTTTTGTGTGTTTTATGCTGGTTTTGGCTGGATAGAGTTAATTTTTCTACACTGAAGGTCATGTCGTGCTATGTTTTGGGTTTTGGACCAAAGTGGCATTGATAACAGGGATGGTTAAGTTATTGCTGAACAGTGATTACACAGCATCAAGGCCTTTTGAACTCATTACACCACCCCATCAGCAAGTAGACTGGGGGTGCACAGGGAGTTGGGAGGGCACACAGCTGGGACAGCTGACCCCAGTGACCCAAGGGATATGCCATACCTTATGGTGTCCTGCTCAGCATATAAAGCTGGGGGAAGGAGAGAGAAAAGGAGGAGATTAAACTGTTACCTTTCCCAAATAGCCATTATGCATGATGATGAAGCCCTGCTCCCCTGGAAATGGCTGAACATCTTCTAGCCGATGGGAAGAAGCTGCTTGGTACAGTCAGAGCTACAAAATTGGCTATGATGGAAATGAGAATTTGAGAGACATGCTGCTTGACTTCTTGAGCCTAAAAGGATGTGCATACAAGGAATATTACATGAAATGCTTGAAAATACTTTAAACGTAGACTTGAAAATGTTGCAACTTGCATGGAAGCCCTAGGCTAGACAGAGTGTGCTAATTAAAAAAAATACAATGGAGATGAAAATTTAGAGAACCATCTATGGAAGGAGAGAAACCAGATTTTAGAGACCAAGGGGAAAGGAAGTGTTTTGTCTTGATACATTTGCATCTTGACATCTAGTGCTAAAAAATGAGGGGAGGAAGGAAATGTGCCCACAGCCATGTTTTGTAAAAAATCTTCAGACAAAACACTCATGGGTTTCCCCCCCTCTCTCATGGGGAGGGGGAAAGTAATGAGAAAATAAGGCAAGCACATGGCAGTCCTTATGAGAAGAGAATAATAGCTCAGACTTTTTATTCTTTGTCCTTCATAGTTAATCCAAGCACAGTAAAATACAGTCTTAAACTGAGCTTGCTGCCAAAAGAATAGTTTTTCTCACTCCCCCCCCCCCCCCCTTCATTCTTATATTCAGGGAATAAATGAGCAACAAAGGTAGAAGTAGGGTAGTGCTGCTGCCTACATGTGTCCCAAAATACGGTATCAGAATGCAAAATGGCTCTGAAAGGTGCAGGGTGTAAAGAAGTACATGGGATTCTTGCTGTGCCCCCCACTTAATAGTTTCCTTCCCCTTATGGGACTATAAACTGAGGCACTTGATCAGTTAAAGGGAACTTTTGTGTCAGATAAGTAGAACTGCCTTATAATTGTCAATGTAGTATTAGGACTCTTAGGAGCTGTTCTAGCACCAAATTCCAGAGGCCGATTTGACAGCAGACATAGAATAGATTGAATGGAAATCCAGAACAGTGGAGCTAAATATCCTGAAGTGAATGTAAACCAGAGTCTTTAATGAGCATTGCACAATGGAGAGACCTCTGACAACTGTGGATGTACCCTTAATGGATACAACTTCTGTACACATTTCTAATCCTTAGAAGCTTAGACAGGGAGTAGCAGAATCTTTGGCAGCATGAAGAAGAATCTTAGGCATGACTATAAGGCAGGTATGTCTTTGCTTTACAGATGTCATTTTTTCAGGTGAAACACTCTCTAAGACGTAACTGTGTTTGACATTAACTGAAGATTTTGAAATATGCGACCTATGATGTTACGTGGATTGCAGTGCTTCTGTGAATTGGAGACTGGCAGAGTTCAGCTAATCTGATGCAAGAGATGATTTCACAATTTACTACTTTCTTTTTTTTTCTTTAACTTCCATTTGAAAAGTCATGGTGAAGAAGTATGCTTGGGAATCAAGTCTCTTGAAGAAGAGCAAGAGCTCTTAAAAGCTAAAATAATCTCTAATTTGTGACTCTCATGATTGGAAAGGTAGCAGGCTGTCTTGATCAAGGAAGTGAGATAAAATACCTACTATCTCTTACAGATGGTTCCTGATCTCTTTTTCTGGACTGGACTTCAGCAGTCTTGTTCAAGCTCTTTTTTTGTTTGTGAGGGAGTGATGTCAACGGAAAGGCAAAGTTTTTTGTGTTAGCCCAGCTAGCAAAGCTAATACTGGTTGCTGTTTGATGGTGCTCTTTCCTAATGTTTCCCCAGATTCTGTGTTACCTATAAATGCTGTAACTACTGATGTCTGTTTCTTTATTATTTCATGAAATTACTATTAGTAAGTAGTCCTTGGAGTTTTTTGATACTACTAAATGTTTGATGGTTTGTTGCTTTGGGGTCTTTTTCTGGAGTTTTTCAGTAGTTCTGGGGCTCTATTAAGCTCTACAAAACACATGGTATTCCACAAGGTGGTTTTTTTCTACATCACAGTACCATATATTACTAAGTCAAAAACTTCACAAGTTTTGTATCTCTCCTGAGTTTTCTCAAAGAATGAAGTAGGGTTTGCTTTAGATCTCACTTATTTTCAGTTAACATGACCTTGTAGGAAGGTAGTAGTTTTATCCCTGTTTTATGCAGGACTGTAGGGAAAAAAAAAATGCAGTGAAGAAAAAGTTGATTATTGTACTTTTATTTAATTATTTCCCATCTGGATCATTCTGCCCTACAATACTACATAAATACTACTTAATTGTAATTTATCTAATTTAACCTCTAAGATGCAGTTTCTGTAACTACATTTAGACTAATTGTTAGTTTCTGTATGTTTTCCAAAAGTTAAATTCTGTATGCTTTTTTTCTTGACTGTTCTTCACACATATTTCACTATGTAGCCTAAAAATCTTTAAATAGATTTTGAATATTTTGAAGCATGAGAGCCCCCAGTTTCTTTTATATTAGGAGCATTGTGTTATGGTAAACTTTATCTGCCAAAGGCACTAGTGTGAAATAGCTCTAAACAGAACTTGATTTTCTGTTCCATTCCCCTAGGCAGAATATGAGGTATCTTCAGATGAAAAACGTATAGACTGTGGCCTGAAAGTTTTAGAGACGTACTTCACTAATGGGGTAAATATGTCTTAAGTGTTTTGTAAATGTCAGATAAATAAAGATCTAAGTGTTTGCATTGTAGTATATTAACTTCATTAGTCCCATTTTTGCCTTTCTGAAAGGTATACTGCCTTCTGATGTTGTGAAACTTTGCAACTTGAGCAGAAGCCTTGACTCATATCTGCTTATAAGATTACTACCATGACTATTTATTCTCCTATTAAAATGCTAATCTCAAAGGTCTATTTTGAACAAACTCATTTAGCATCTACAGAAGACTTATTAACAAATTAATTCAGAGTTTTGACGTTTGAAGACACTGAAATCCTCAGGCTTCTTTCAGACTCCTATATGGCCTTGCTTGATTTGCTGTAAATGGTCAGAATTGCTGCAGGTTTTCACAAAGTGAAATGCTGTTTTGTTTTGTTTTGTTCTGGAGCATTCTGCACCTCTGTATTTTGCATGGAGATAATTAATAGGTGATCTTTTGCATTTGTTAGATTCCACTGATTGATTTTTAAGAGTCTCTTCTTTGATATCCAATAGAAGCTGGAGATACATAATTAGACATTTGCCTTCTATTAATAGATGCTCTTTCTGCTTCGATTTGGACATACTGAGAAGATTTTATTCCAAATGAAGGTCTTGTAGATGCTTTAAAAGCAGATAGACTTCAAGTTTGCCACATCTCTTATAATAATTTCTTTGGGACTACCATAAGTCACATGCATTTCTTGCAAAAATGAAAACCAAACCCCAAAACATTTATTGGGCTCGTTTGAAATAGTTTCCCAAGTTGTGTGTGTATTTCTTTCCCTTTCCTTCCGTCCTGCCAAGCCAAATAGATAACTTGCTTTTATTGTGGTAGATTTATGGAAAGGAGAAGAAATTTAACTTATTGCCAAGTTTGTTTCCCCAGATACAGAACTAGAAAACAATTATAATAGCTTTCAATGAATTTTTCTATAATAGGGAACAAACACAAATTTTGCTTGAATATGGCTTGTTGGTTTTCTTTTTAGCCAAACCATTCCTTTCCTTTTCCTGTGTTAGACGATTTCATTTCAATTTGAATACAGAACTTTGACTCGTTCTATTGATTGCTTTCATTGTTACCTGTTTTTAATTACTTTAAGTCTGCAGCACACTTGCCAGAAATACCTCAGGAAACAGTAAATGAATGTAAAGCAAGACTGGAAAAGAACCCTTCTAAGGACCTTTTTATGGACTGCACTAGGTAAGTTAAAAATGCACATTGCTAAGTTTAAGTACCAGAAGAGAAATTTGTGTGTTTGAGAGAAATGAAAGGTGAAATTATTACATCCAGGAGTATTTCATGTCTGAAATGAGTATAAATAAGGAATTTGAAACAGATTTATTATAGGACTAGGTTTCCTTCTGATGTGATTCATATGTTTGACTTTTGCAGAGCTTTTTCTTTAGTGCTCTTTTTTGCATAAAATCACACTATAATCTGCTACCAAGTATTCTGTAAATTAGAATAATATTTCTCTTTATTATATTCTTACTTTTTGAGTGACTTCCCTTCCATGATGAAGATACTCAGAAAAAACTGAAGTTATAAACTGGAGCTTGAAAAGTTTCTGAACAATGTTATACAGTTTATGGTTCTTGAGAATGGGCTGAACTGAGGCTAACAGTTGTATTCCATTAAAATGGCTGATTAGAGGATTGATTGTGAGAGTTAACACAAACAAATCCAACTTGCTTTCGTTCTGAAGTCATGAAGTGGTATTTCACACAGCAGCAACAGGGAAGGCTCTTCTTGGAGGGACGGTACATGTTTACCGGTGTTGCAGGTCTTTCTAAATCCATTATGTTTCTAATATTACTGGTTCTTCAAGGCATGCTTGATCATGTCTGAAGCGTTACAATATGTTTTGTCATTGCTTGGGTCATCTCCCTGGCAACAAAAAATAAGCATACTTTATAACAACCTGAGATTATAAGATTGAAAGGGATGTGTGAGAACACCTAGTAAAACGTGTCTCAAATGGAAGATGTGTCATGTAGGTCATCCCCTTTCCTCTGCCCGATAAATATTCAAATACAGTTTGAATGACTTGTTCCCCAACTCCTTTGGTGTGTTTAATTTAAGAGGAATAAGGCACCTAGTGTTCAGGTTTGGATATAGCATAAACAGAATAAAATTTTACTTACCAGACTCCAAACAATGTGTGAATACTTGTAGATCCTTTCCTGTATGTCTTTCAGAGATCATACTTGTGGAGTCATACATGTATTGCATAGCTACGGGGAAGGCTGATGTTTACGTGGGCTTGAAGACAATGAGAAAGCAGAGGTCAAACTTTCTAGTCACTATAAGTAACAGTAGCTGGGCATTCACCAGTGTTTTGACAGGAACAGTTTTCTGTGACAGGCACTCACTCTGTGAGACATCTAGGCTAAAACCATTGTAGAGCACAGTGACAATGTTTTTCTGCCTACAGCCTTGCTGATCTGTTTAATAGATACTTGTTTAATAGATTTTAAGAGCTGTTAATATTTTAATAGATTGTTAGCATCTCCTGCTTATTAGTTTTCTTCAGTATGATTGATTTTATTTTCCTGTTGCTAGAATTGTCCATGAATACCTAAGCAAAAGACCTTTCGAAGCTTACCAAGAAAGTGTGTATTTTTCCCGTTTTTTACAGTGGAAATGGCTGGAAAAGTAAGTTTATTTATAATGTTTATATTATCATGTTTCTTTGCTCTGTAGCCAGGTCTGCTTGTCATGCTAGAAATGCTGTAGAACCCTAATGTATGACAGTGCCTATCTAAGAATTATGATCTGGAAGATGTAAAGGGTGATACCGATGGCACAGTCAGAGTGCCACTACTCCCAACAGCACTGTCCAGTAGTTTTCAAGTGGTAAATTTGTATTGGCTAAATGCAAATTTATTATCATGGATATATGTTTGGCTGTCAAGTGTACAGTGGGATACTAGTCTTTCTTGGGAATGGTATCATCCTTTAATTTCAAACTTGGTGTAATTAGTGGCTAAGAAGCAGATTAAACTAGATATATGACCCAGTGTTTTAAAACTGTAACTAATCATTTTTTCAGGGTGGTACAGGCATAGTCAAGCAATTACAAGGCAGCAGGATATATATCTGTGAAAATCTAGCTTGGGCTTTTAAATCAGTAGTAAAGGAGTTTCTAAACTTTTTCAGAAGTCTGAAATTCGTACAAATCCTTTCTACTTCAGCAGTGCTGTGTATTGTGATCACGTATTAGCTTTATGGTAAATTCCAGTTACCCAATGTCTTTATTTGACTGAGTTCATAGTAAAAACCAGGAAGAGAATTTGGGACTCAACCCAAATTCTCTATCAAGTGAACCTCCCATTTCTTGTCCTGAGAACAAAGCTTCATTAAAAACGAATGCTCTTTTAGAACAAAACCATCAACAAAACCCACCACCATGAAATAGCCCTGCCCTGATGCTTGCTTAGGGGTGGTTTAGCATAGAATAGCAGACTCCTTTACTGCCTCCAGTTATCTTCTCCTCTTTCACTACATCAGTGGCTCTTGAACTGCTGTTGCATACCACAAGTCTTTCTGTTTTGAAGAAGCGAAACGGCTAAGTAAAATCAGAAGTGGTTTACCCTTTAGATGCTGCATTGTAAACATCATCTCACTGAAATGCAACCTATGTATCAACATACTGCAGCTAAGAGAGACAACTGGAGGTGAAAAATTGACTGCTGAAGAGAGCAGATAAGGCTCTAACCCTAAACAACAGAGGGCCTAATTGATCAGCTTTTCTTCCTGCTATAGTGAATGTGTGATGACCACATGAGGGAGCCAATGTTTCTCGTCAGAACACCCCTTTCATTGGAAATTCAGCTTATTATAATACTATAATACCGTCTTCATGAGGTTAAGGCAACTGTTGTTCAGTAAGATGTCACAGAACAGAAAATGGAGAATGAAGACAGGCCTGGGGATAGGGAGGAGATCATTAACTCTTGTAATTCCTGTTGCAATAATTGTTTCTTTCTGTTAATCAGGCAACCAGTAACCAAACACACGTTCAGGCATTACCGAGTATTAGGCAAAGGTGGATTTGGAGAGGTGAGTACAGAAATATCTTTCTGCAAGGCAATCCTTAAGGAAAAAAAAGAAGTTTAATACAGGAGAGAGCAGTTTTTTAATTCTTGATTCTAACAATCTACATTTGACATATCATGGGGCAAACTGTCATCAACCCAAATTGTTTTCCTTTAATGTGTTAGTATTTTAAGTCATGCACAAAGTTGGAGAAAACTTCCATTGACAGACAACAGTTGCTCTGTTCAGAAATTTCATTTGGCAATGAGAATGTAGTTTCTACTTAATAGGAAAATCTATAGGTTTTATTAATGCTCTTTATAATTCATTGGGCTTTTTTCCCCCTCCATATGTTTTAACGGAAGGGGATATTGAAGGGGAAGGAGGGCTACTAAATTAACAATTTTGTCTCACTTAATTATGGAGTGGATATTTGTCCTCTGTTCTGTTAGCCCAGACACATACTGTTACCACAGTCAGGTATTTCACCAATACAAGATCCGCAGTTTTAGTGAACTATTCAACCCCAACAAAAATGGGTTTGCTGCTGTATAATCACTTTTTCTACTCCTGTTAAGGCTTTTGTGATCCTTCAAAGTTGTTTCCTGGGTGAAAGCCCTGTAGTGACACAGACCTTCATTTCTCAGAGCATTCAAGAGTTTGAAAACAGGAAATAAAATTTTATCTTCTTTAAAAAAAATCCCAAGCAAAACCAAACAAATCTAAACACGCATACCCCCAAACCCCACCCCTCAGCATCTCTGACACACCTTCCTTCTTTTTCAGGTGTGTGCCTGTCAAGTACGGGCAACAGGAAAAATGTATGCTTGTAAAAAGCTAGAAAAAAAGAGAATAAAGAAGAGGAAAGGAGAATCAATGGCTCTAAATGAAAAAAGAATTCTAGAAAAAGTGAATAGTAGGTTTGTAGTAAGTATCTGCTTCTGATCTTACTCTGGGAAGTTTGTCTTGCTTTGTTTGCTTCATTTCAGTCTCTTCCAGGAGCTTGTGGCTACAGGGCATTTTCTGATTGATTCTGAGTGCATAGTGCTGAGAGAAATGGTTGATATAATGAGAAGTACTTTTTTTGTAAGATGGAATAGTTCTGTGCAGAGGACTTTATCCAATACTGAATTGGTTTTAGTCTGCCTCCTATAGTTCTCACTTACAACCAAACCATCAGATTTTGGTGTTTCAGCATGCTGATGACACTGAATCTTTATTGTCTGTTTAAAGGTGAATAAATTATTCCGTAGTACTCATATTTGAATAACCACTTAAATTCCTTCTGCTGCAGTTTATGACTTAGTATTGTTATTTTTAGTAAAGGAGATATTCTATATACTTTATCACATCCTATTTTTAACTTCTGTTACTCTGTCTCTTCCAATTCATTGCTCTCTGTTTTGTTCTTTTACTCCTTTCTTCCCTCACATACACCTATTTTTTTTATAATTAATGCTAATTTCATTTTTGGAGGTCAATTCTAGATGCACTTACAAAGGGGTGACTTCATGAGAGTCTACCATTTAATTGCCATTAGAAGTTGCATATCCTTCATGTCTGTGACTTCAAATATTAGAGTTTTTATATCCTTAAGTATTTTCATAGCTTTTGTTACTCTACTGCTTAGTCATTTCAAGGTAAACATGAAATCTGACTGCTATATCAATTCAGGTTAGTTATGTCGCTTTGCTGTGAACTAAGGCTTTAAGAGAACTCTTGGGTGTGAAACAATTAACATAACTTTTTAATAGAAATTCCAGAGAATAAAAGTCTTAGTCTTAATACTTTAACCTGATGCTATCACATAAATTATGGTCTGTTAGGAGCTCTAATTACTAAGCAGTGAAATAACTTGGAATGATCAAAGATATACCGAGTAAACTTTTTCCCCAGGTAATTCTTATCTTTTCATTGAATTTATCTTCTCTAAATATTAATTTTAAATGAATGTTGCTTTGGTTTTAAATCCATTTACTGATAAATTTTGCATTGCTGTTAAGAGAGGAGTTTAAAATACCTGTGTTAGAGGACAGTGGAAGTTATTTATAAAAATATGTATTTGTATGTATAAAATATGTATGTATGTATTTTCTGCTGAGCCTTATGTATTACAATAACCCCTGTAGAATACAGCCAGCTAAAAGAAAAACTAGAATTTGCTGGCCAGGTACATTAATATTTTAAATTATTATAAATAATGCTTTTGTATATATATGCTAATGTTGTTTTCACACAAGGCTCATGGGCTTGACTTCACTGAAATTGAATCCAGAAATTACTAGTTGTAGAGAGATGCGAGATAAGAGTGAAACTTCTATTTATGAGTCATATTTTTCAACATATATAGATACTATAAATGAATAACTGATCCAAGTTGAATTTGAAATCACTTTATGGGATTGAGCAGAAGTTATTTTCCTCTTGCTAGGCAATGTTTTTCTTTAATGCAACAGAGGAGGTCTAGAGGTAGGATCTGCATTAATACTGGATTGGAATTGGGTAGATAATTTGTCATTAATAGGTGGAGATGTCATTTTAAAACCTCTAAATAGGAACCTCTGCCATGAGAAGCTGATTTGTATATTAATTTAAATTTATTATTTAGTATTTGATTTATGCTTCTGAAGTAAGAGTACGGTTTAGTTCATCTTTGAGGGTGAAGATGTATTTTGAAGATTCTGCTAGATGGTCATCAGCACAGTGTAGCTTTTTCTATTGAAATTGCGTTTTTAAATTAAATAACATCTGTTCAATTTTGCAGTATATTACCTTGTTTTAAATTTATTTAGACTATAAAGAGCTTTATAGATGTCTCGACCATTGGCAAGTTCTGAGCCAGGGAAATATGCAGTTATTTGCGGGGAGTAGAGGAACAGAAACTACACATTTGATCTTAAGTAACTTTTTTAGTTTCCCAAGTGTGGGGCAACTTCAAATCTTACAGAAGTTTAGGAAAATGGTTTGATAATGGTGAATTCCTGAGGTATTAATAAAATAAGGTCTATGTGCATGATATCTTCACAAAGAAGTAATATAGATAATGTGCAGCTGAGGGGCATCCTCAATAAAATGTATTGTCTGGATGGAGCTCTGTGGTATCTAGACAGGTCACTGAATTCTTGTATGGTGATGTAGAGTTTGTATATGCATGCACCTTAGTCTGAATTCCTTTGTGTCTTCAAGTATGTCAGGAATGATTTTGTACTTGGCTGTTTTGTCCTTTTTTTTTAAAAAAAGGATTCATATGTTGCTTGTATTGGAAAAAAAATAGCTGTGAATTGTGTTGGGGTTTATGAATGAATAATGGTCATCTTCTCCCCCTGCCCCATTTTTAGGTTAGTTTATCCTATACATATGAGACGAAAGATGCCCTGTGTTTAGTATTAACCATAATGAATGGAGGGGATTTGAAGTTTCACATATATAACATGGGAAATCCTGGCTTTGATGAAGAAAGGGCTATTTTCTATGCTGCAGAACTGTGCTGTGGTCTGGAGGATTTGCAGAAGGAGAGAATTGTTTACAGGTCAGTGTCATCTATAGTCACTTGTACCTTGAATTTTCCATGTCTGTTCAGCATTGAATGTGTTAATTGTTTTCTACTGAAACAAGCTTATGCTTTATAGTAAAAGAAGCAAAAAAATTAGTTGTCCTTTTCACAGCATGTCCTTCAGAATTACTGATCTTATTTGTCTTCTTACTGTTTATTTAGGTCTAGATAGTTGCTATATTCTAAAGCATTATGAAGTTGATTAAAGGTGGGTTTGTAAAATTGAAGTAAGTTATGATTTATAAAGCAAATTCATTAGTAACTCTTAAGTTTTAGGAACATGAAATTGCATTCCTGCCCACTCTAAAAGTAGAAGTTCATAGGCTATAGAAGTCCCTTGCTGCATTGCTTGTTGTTCCCAAGAGGTTAAACAGTCAATTATAATCTGTATTGCCCTCTTTTTTCTCTATTTATTTTAGATTCCTCCAATAAACACTTTATTCCTTTTTAATTAATGAAACTGTCAGAAGCCTTATTAATTGTAATTGAGATTTTATGGTCTTACTGCTCTCTTTTATCTCTCTACATACCTCGTTTAACCCCTGGCATTAATATTACAGAAGCAAAATTAACTTAGTGGTGGACCAAGAATGCTTTCTTTATGTTTCTGGCATTAACACCACGTGGCACTTGTTTTCAAAGACAATTTAAAGTATAATCCTGCATTACTTTAATATAATGAGTCTGTGTCTTTTCCCTCCCCAGTATAGAAGGCTAACATACACACAGCACAAGGTGGCAGAACCACAGAGTAGATCAGGCTTATGCTGGATGTTGCATGTGGTTCCCTAAAGAATTTGGCCCATCTTGCAATGTTATGCAGTGTGTTTTGGCATGTGTGGTAGAAGAGCAGCAGAGATGAATGGTTTAATCTCCATGATGATCTTGAAATGAACAAGTAGTTCATTTCACATTGCCCAACAGAAAACAAAACTGTTTAAAACACAGTAAAACTACAACAACAAAAAAAAAAACAAACAAAACAAAAACACAACCACAACACTCCCAGCCCTTGTGTGTAAGCCCAACTTGTTAGCAATTTGCCTGCAAGAAGGCCTTCAAACACATATGTCAAATCCTAGTGTTCTCTGTGTCTGATTCCAGATCTTGGAGTGGTTGTGATTTCTTCTGGAGCAGTCTAAACTAGGTGGTCATGGAAGCCTTCAGTATGTCACCACTTACAGTGATATGTTACATAATCAAAATTCTGTATCAGGCATATTAATGGAAATGCATTTAAGCAGCAGTTCACTGATTATATATGATCAGTGAAACAAGGCTTGGGAAAATTTGCCATAATTATTTTATTCATATCAACAGAGTTATACTGGCAACCTCCAGTCTTACTGTTGTTGGAGGGGAGAACATCATGAAGCACATTTTCATGAGTCAGTGATTTATTTATTCCAAATTATGGTAACTAATATTTCTTGTTTGCCAGAGCAAGAAAACACAGAAGGAATGTTATTATTTTGCTGTCATTTTGAAAGCACTAATATTGGTATTTCTGAAATTGGAGCTAGTTCTTTCTCTTGTTGCCATCTCTCAAGATCTACTACTGCATTTGTTCTCCAGCTTTAAAGGAGTTTTAAAGGCTTTTTAGACCAATAGCATAAACTGTTAAAAGCAGGCTGTAGTTTTGTGCTATACTGTTATATTCTCTTGAGAACATATTTTTGTAGCTATCCATCTGTATATTCACAGTGTACTGTAGAGGCAGTGGAAGAAGGGAAATTTGGGACTTCTGAAAATAGAAATCCTTGGTGCAGATGGGTGTCAGCAGACAGCAGTAAAATCAGTTCATTTTGTCAGTTTGTTCAGATCTAGAATGGCAGTTTTAATGTAGGCCAGTCATGTTAAAATGTATTCTAAGCTTACTGGCACCATCACTAGCAAAATTTCTCATGAGCGGAAAAACTTGGCCTGACTTTCCATTAACACCAGTTTTTATTTTGTGTTTCATGTGTCTTTATGCCAGTCACTACTGACTGTCAAGCAGTGCTGTTAGTGCTGTCAGTAGGACCCTGGAGTCAGTTGTGCCATTTTGTTAGTGAGGTCCCCACTGGGTTAAAAGAGCAGGTGCAGAGCTGGAAGGAGGGTCCCATGCTGCCCTGTGAGAGCAATTGAGCCAGTTTGCATCTTCAGTGGGAGCTTGTGAAACTCTCTAACTTGCCATATGTTGCTGACATCAGAAAAATAAGCAAACAGACAGGAACTGTCAGTAGTGGAGCTGATCATCCATCTGCTGCATGAAAGGTCTCATCATATGGAGAGCAAAGTCAGGATTTGCATAAGACAGAGTGGGGAACCAGTCCCTGCTTTCCAAAAGGGACTTGATTGATGGAGTCCTCCTGCAGGAGTTAACCTGACTCCTCAAGGAGTAGTATTTTTTACCAAATACCTAGGTTTTCCTTACAAACTCATGTAGGTGCTCGTAATGCCACTGAATGTACCTGGAAAATCAAAGATCAGGCTCAAAGACCTGTTGAAGGTGTAGTTGATAAACCCAAGTAGCTCCTTGCCTGCCTTGTGTGTATGGCCAGAGTTGACATCTTGGTGGTAAAATCCCCTGAAGGATTTTTATCCAGGAATTTTATCAGTAGGAAGGCTGTTGCAAGCTGTAGCACAAATGCAGTAGTCACTGTTTAGTCCAATTTAAATATATGTATTTTTATCCAAGTGTTTGTAATATACTTTTTAGTTTTGTGAGTTTTGCAGTCCTCCCTGCTTCATAAGGGAAAACTGTCACAAAAGGTTTGACTTGGACATCTGTCATGGTGGAGGAAGGAAAGAAGGAGAAGGCTGATACCCCAAAGCAAGCGTCCTGGAGCTAGAATTTATAGCTGAATGCTACCAGAAGTTGACTTCTTTGAGAACTGCTAGGCCTAGAAACAAACAGCATTAAAGAGATGGAATTTTGGCTGGAAACAAGTTTGACTATTGACCAACCAAAATCATGTCAGAACAGAATTAACTTCCGTTGAGCAGCAGATGTTGCTAGTTAAGCCTTGGGGTTTAGGTTAGGTTTTAATCCATCATCTTGGAGATGGAACTCTTAAACTTCTTTACTTGAGTTAACTTGAGCATATATTATATGCTTTCATGTAGATGTGCTTCTGTGTAAAGTCTGAGCTGAATTTGTTGTCTTAATTTGGGGGGGGGTGTAGTATTTTTTTTCCTTACTCTTATCTCTCCTGGTCTCTCTGGCGTTGTAATCTCATATTTAACATCAACTGATTAACATTATGGAGACTGTCCAGACTTCAAAGTATTAGAAGAAAAGCATCTTGCTGACTTCTTTGTGCAGTTAATGTTATGAAATAATGAAACTTTAAATGAATACGCATACTTCAGAGCATGAAGTTATGAATATTTGGGGAAAAAGCGTATATATTTCTTGGTTAACAAATATGGGTGTGTATATTTATCTCTAATTTTTAATATAAATTCTAGAGTTGGTCTTCCTAAAATTGTTTCTTTTACATTATTCTGCTTGTATATGAATAACTGTTGTTTTTTTTTCACAACTGTACATATACCCATATACATACATATGTTTTTTAGCAATCTATTCCAATAATAACTGAATCTTTAGCTAAGTACTGATTTTTTTTCTTGTCTATTTCTGGCTTCATGATATTTGGTGGTGGAATAAATCTAAGAGACTGTATTACAGCCTGCATACTTTCTGATGCAAATCATGATTTTATATATATCTTGATATAAATTTATATATATATATTTCATGCATATGTATATTTTATGTGTACAAAACCATGTATGTTCTCAGTAGAATCTGCTAGACTATAGATCCTGAAGTAATCTCTGAACAGCTTCTGATTCAGCTTTAGCGACTCTCCAAATTTTCCTTAGGTAGGGAGAAAATCCAAATATCCTATTGAGGTTCTTTTGTTCTTAAAGTAAAAAATGTACAAGTTTCCTCACTGAATTGATTTCCATTTTAGTATTTCCTGATTCTTGCAAGCGTGTAATAGCTAAAAAATATTTTATGTGAAACTTTGATGTTAAGAGTAGTACACACTCTCAGAGTTGAAATTGCAAAGAATCCTAACTAAATAAGTGTCTAGTAAGCTTTAGAAGCTGCATGTCCAAAATAAACAAATGGAATTTGAATGGATGATACCAAGCTGATACTTAGTCTTGGAAATACTACTCTCTGATATTCTGGTATCCTGGGGTGGAACATAGCAAGGAATGAGCATCAAACTGCAGCAAGCACTGCAAGCAAGTTTTACCACTGCAGAGTTGTATGGCTGATACTCTTAAGAAAATACCTTTCACTCATGAGCACAAATTTGTGTGCAAGATGGTGGTTCTTTATATCAGGAATTTACTGTTACATAAAGTTTTTCACCTGTGAAATATGAATTGCAGTTGTTAATATAAATGGAGTAGAGAGTTGGGAAAAAATGGATTTTGAGTTCTGTGGTTCTATTTGTATTATAGGTCCTCAACTTCCCAACTTTCTTTGTACGTAGATGGAAATGGGAAACATTACTTTAATCAGAACCAAGAAGTCTGATGTTGCACTTGATGATGACTAATCATCATTTTGCCTTTGTGTAATTCACATTTCTATTCTTTTTACTTTGTAGAGACTTAAAGCCTGAAAATATACTCCTGGATGACTGTGGTAAGTAAAAAATAAAATTATTTTTTAAATTGGGAATTGCAAATCTAATTAAAACTGTGCCAGAAATCAAAGGATTTCTTCATGATAAATGGGATCTGATTGACACACATTAATTACAATTAATAGAGAAAAAAACTGCCCTTCTGTTTTAGAAAGTAGGGGGAAATACTGAGTCTTTGGGGGACATCAATGATGATGTTTGAGTCAATTTCCTACCTTAAAATGGCTACTTTTCCCTTTCTGTTCCTCTTCCCCCCGCCCTTGATTTAAGATGGTTAAAACTTTTATATAGATTTGTTCTCTGTCTTTTCTTCACCTATGGAAACGTGATTTGTTAGATGCAGTGCTGGAATATTACTTAGTAAACAATAATGTTTAAGAAATAAAGAAACTTGAAACATTATCTTCATCTTGAAATGATTTAAATTTCAACTAAAACAGGTCTGATGGTCACTGATGCATTTGTGGCTGGAATGAATCACAGAAGTACAAACAGTATGAAGAAATGTTTGTAGTTTTTGTTTGTCAAAAGCCAAATTAATTTTCTTTAATGACTTTGTATGAGATTTATCAGAATCTTTTGAATTCACTATAGAATATGTGCAGCAATACTTCTGAGATGGGCAATAATATTACCAGCTTATTTTTGCAATTGCTGAATATTTTAGTTAAAAACCATTTTTGAGATCATTAGCGCAATATATTTTTAAAAGTCAGCATGTTCTGACTGATAAAATTTCTAAAAAGGTGATGCTTGGGAGAAGTCACTTTCCAAGACCTAAAGCTTTGCTTAGACATCAAATGCATTCTTTAATTTTTCTCTCCAGCAGTGTCTTGCGAAAGCTGAATGCTTCTTTGAGGAAAAAAAGTAGCCTTGCAGGACTGCACTAGAATGCTTTCTCTTTGCCAGGGATATTCTGATCTTGTTCCAGAGAGCAGAGGGGCCTAATTAGAAAATCGCTTCAGGAGCTCGGATCCTGCATGTGAAAAAGGGCTCATCAGATGTCAGGGAATGGAAAAGCATCTGAATGTATTTAAAATACATTTGCTGCTTAAGAGCATTTAGTTATTTTCAACCAGTATATAGAGTGGCACTTGACTTTCTCCACTCTCCCTCCCCCTTGATTCTGTATTACATGTAAAGAAGAAATTAATATGCTGTTAACTAACAGTGATCCTGCAGAGCTTTTGAATGACAGAGAATATATGCACAAAGGACACTCGGACAGCTGAACAGGCTACCCAGAGAGGTGATGCAGTGTCCACTCTTGGAGGTTTTCTAGACAAGAATTTAAAAATCCTTGAACACTTGCTTGCTCAGGAGTTTGCACCTGCAACCTTCTGAAGTCCCTTCGAGCCTGAGTTATTCTGTGAATCTGTGCTGGTTTTGTAAATGATACTGTCCCTGCCCTTATATCCACTATTAGAAATAAATGTCTTGTCTTTTGTTTTTCTTTCCCTGAACCTTTCTACTAGAGATGATTGTGGCAATTTTCTGTTTTAAAATTGAGTGGCAGCTCTAATTGCCCTTCCTTCTGTCTAGTCTTTTATATTTTTAAAGAAAATACCTTATGTATTTTTAAGTTACAATCATGTCAGTACAATTCTTTTCTTGAACTATTTTGAATCATTTGCTCTTGAGTCTGTCCAGCAAAGAACTGCATCTGTCCATGGGAATCTAAGGGAGGGTGGATGAACTTACTCCCTTCTTGGACTGTTTCCCCATCATAACAAATCATAGTCTCACACCAGCCTACTAGATTAGAGGTAGTAGTGTAAATGTGTAACAGGAAAGGCAGTCAACTTGGGAAGTTTGACTAATAAAGTGAAATAGAAGCTGTTATCTACATTGGAGTGATTCTTGAGAAGGAGAAACCCTAATATTGAATGGACATGTTAGAATACAAATAGTTCTAAGTAGGTTACGGCTAAGCTACTTTTCTTTTGGGGTGGGAATGCAGATAGTGATTCCAATTTCTTGTGCTTAGCATTATTATTGCTTTGTTAGAGGAAAATCTAACAAAGTTTAGTTGGTTGTCTCAGTACAGGTTACAGTTTTCTCATATATGGACTAAATAGAGTAAATTCTGATGTTGTGATGGGCAGGCATATACAATGGAAAAATACAAGTGTCTGATGTATAGATACAGAATTTGAAATGAGCGGTCATCATTTCTAGTTGTCATAGAGTAGCAGCCTCTGTCAAAGCTAGGAATTAGAGTACTTAACAGCAACCTTTTTCTATGACTTTCAGGAAATCAATTAGATCTGTCCCTCTCCTCCTTTATGTATTTAGGAAGAGTTGAATAATGATAAATCACTCCTTTCTAGTTAAGTTAAATAAACTTAAGTTTGTGAGTGTATGAACGTTTTGGGGTGGATGATTTTGATTTTGTTTTTTGTATTAAAAGTGATAATATTGTATTATTTGCTGACAATGTATACTTTATTTTAATGTAAATAGGACATATCAGAATTTCAGATCTTGGATTAGCTGTGCAGATTCCAGAAGGAGAAACGGTCCGAGGACGGGTTGGGACTGTTGGTTACATGGGTATGTAAAGTGTCTTTTGCTAGTTATATTTTCACAGAAAATGTGCTTCTGTGGATATATGAATGACTTCTCCAATTAAATATTCTGGGCCTGGATTAGTTACTAGACATGGGAAGAAATGTTACAATATGTGGTGGTAGATGTTAGTAGTCAATTACTAATAGCTAGTGATAAACTTGAAAACTTAACTCTGGAAATTCTAGTTTTAGGTGGAGCTTTAAGAAAGCATCTCATTTGTTTCTGAGGCTCTAAGAGATTTAGGGTCACAGGTAAGCAGATGAATTACTGTGACAACAGGGTTTATTTTCATGCTTTGAAAAAACTTCATTCTCATTTTGTAAATAATACTGATCTCGAGTGTTAAAGAACTCAAGTGCTTCTCTTGGATATAAACAGAGTCCTGACTGTAGAAATGAATGTTTCTTCAAAGTACAAAGGAGTGGTGCAGAGGTCTCTGCACAGAGCCAAAAGAGTACCAGAGAGTTTTTCCAATATTCAATTAGTCAATTTAAAGGGAACTGTCATTGGGGTTTCTTTGTTTGTGTTTTGTAGCTCCAGAAGTGCTGAAAAACGAGAAGTACACATTCAGCCCGGATTGGTGGGGTCTCGGGTGCTTGATTTATGAAATGATTGAAGGACAGTCTCCATTCAGGAAACATAAGGAAAGGGTCAAACGGGATGAAATTGACAGGAGAGTAAAGGAAGACCAGGAAACATATTCTGACAAGTTCTCAGAGGAGGCAAAATCAATCTGCAGGATGGTGGGTGAAGAGACATAGAGGTTTGAAAATTAAATTTCTAATCCTTTTTAAGAGATGAACTACTTTAACATTTTCCATTGAGAATTTTTCAAAGCTGGAGTTCTAAAATCTTCAGATAGAAGTTTGTGAATGTCCATGAGTTGTTCAGTTATCAAACTCTGAGGATTCAGAATTGTTTTCAAAAGGAAGACAGGCTGCATAAATTGTTTTTTCATCATCTGAATGAAAAGTTCCAGTACTCCTTGGACCACATCTAATTATAGAAGGAGTACACTAGCATGCTCATCTTTGATACTGCATGGGCAGAAATGGCATAGTACACTAGTTCCCTTGCGTAAAAGACTCTGTATGATACGAGCTGTTTTGATCTTGCATGTTCTTAAATTTAATAAGAGGCATGGCTGTACAGAAAGCGTCTAAGTTTTCTTGAGTAGTTTATGCAAAATATGTTCATTACTTAAGCCCATTGGAAAAAAAAAAAGGTAATTCTATTTCCTGAAAGTAAAGTCTACAGCAAAGTCTGTACTGTAAAAATCTATTCAGTATGGCATCAATTAAAATATGTTTTATATAAGTTTGGGTATAATCTTCAAAGGGGCTGCTTTCAAGGATTCTTTTGCCTACTTATAGTCTTTTTGCTTCCAGAATGTTGTAGTTTGGATTTCCAGTTCATTTTTATATCATGATAAATTTCACGTAATAAAAAGCCAAGTAAAAAATAAGCATTTTTAAAGACTTATATTTTTGCTTTCTTTCTTTCTTCCTTTATTTTTTATTATGGGATTGTATCACTGGATACATATCCCTATATCTTTGCAGTTACTTGCTAAAAATCCAGGGGAACGACTGGGTTGCACAGAAGACGGAGCTACTATTGTAAAGCAACATCCTATTTTCAAGAATATTAACTTCAAGAGGCTGGAAGCTAACATGTTAGAACCTCCATTTTTGCCAGATGTAAGTAGGTGAGACAGATTTGATTAGTATCTAAAAAGGCAAGAACTGCCGTAATTCCATGTCAGCAATCATGTGGCTCAAAAGAAACCCTTGAACTTAGTTAAACTGGCAGGAGAATGCCACTGTCTTCATCGTAGAATAGTTAGGGTTGGAAAGAACCTTAAGATCATACAGTTCCAACCCCCTGGTATGGGCAGGGATGCCTCACTCTAGACCATGTTGCCCAAGGATCTGTCCAGCCTGGCTTTGAACACTGGCAGGGATGGAGCATTTACCACTCCCTTGGGCAACCTGTTCCAGTGCCTCACCACCCTCACAGTAAAGAGCTTCTTCCTTATATCCAAATTTCATCTGAGATCACAAAATGATTTACAATAAATCAGTAAATAACTGATTTCTTAGCCCTTAAAAGTCTACTTCTGTAGCTCAGACGCTGAACAAATGAAGACTACCTTTGAATAAATTACTCTGGAGTTGAAAGGAGGGTGACAGATGATAAGTGAATTATGACAACCACGAAGAAACCCAGAGAAGCTGTATGCTGTTTCTGGTTTTGATATTTCTTTTCTGTTACTTGCAGGATGGATGGAATTGCTCAGGTGCCTTATGAAGGGAGTCTTTTTAAGTTTTTTCATTTCTGTAGTATTTTTGGTCATTTTGTAGTATTGTGTCATTTGGTGATCAGCAACATGAAATACGTATATATATGCAGGCATTTTGCTCCCTTTTTGCTCATCTAGGGAAATAAACAAACCAATCCACAAAAACCCCCAACCCCAAAACCTTAATGAAGCAATCTTGTCTTATACTGCAGCCACGTGCCGTATATTGTAAAGATGTCCTGGACATAGAGCAGTTCTCAACAGTAAAAGGAGTGAACCTGGATACTACAGATGATGACTTCTATTCCAAATTTGTTACGGGTTGTGTCTCAATCCCTTGGCAAAATGAGGTATTGTATATTTCATTAAAAATTATTTCCTTTAGAACAGCAATATAGAAGATTTATAAGGGACATAATTATAGGATTAACTTTCTGTGTAAGATGTAAATAGACGTCTGCTTTAGACTTCTTTGCTGAGTGACTTCCAAGACAAGTTTCTCCCCAAACCTGCTACAAATTTAGATCTATGGTAAATCTGCACAAACAGAATATCATTTGTCATCATAGATGCAAAATATGGAATGGTATTTAGCAACAGTATGACCACATTTTCCTTGTTCTATCACATGTTATTCAATGCTGCTGTTCATAGGAGGGAATGAATGCTATTCAAAACACTCAAAAGCAAATATGTTATCTTGCCTTTGTGTCAATAGAGTATCTGAGTGAATGGTAATACAGAACTGCAGATTCACCTTTTCTAACATTTCAAAACAAACAGTTCAATACAGCTTGAGGCACACTTCCTGTTAAAGCTTTTTCATCTGTCTATTGAGTGAGTATTCTAGTTTTCTGCATAGCATACTAGAATTTTGCCACCTCTGTGTGCGCATTTTAGTCTGTTATTTCACAAAGAAAACTCACTAACAATTATTTAAAATTGTAGTTTTCGCTATGAGTGTCTTCCCCATATTATAAGATATTTATAACTTTCTGAAATCAGTATTGTCTTGAATTCTACCCAGAACACCAGAATGATGTTTAAATTACTGTGGTCAGGCATCGGCTACTTTTTCCCCAAGAAGTGCAATTCAACCGCTTGGTAAAAAGTATCCCCTTAGTACTACGCAGGTAGTAGTATTCTGCACAGAATCATCATTTTTCCTAGTCAATATCATGTTTATTAATTAAGTTCAGTCCAGGGCATAGGGATCCTATATTTGTTAGGCTGACTACTCTGAAATTAGTAGAATAGATGAAAGGAAAATCAATTTCTTGTTCTAAAAACTTCTCATTACTGCTTCATAGGCAGAAGAAGTCCCTTACCAGAGCAAAGGGCATCAGAGCACTTACTTGCATGGCAGTGCCTTTATTGCTGTTCTTTATTTTGCTGGATGCACAAGGAGAGTTAATGCAGACTTTGTGTCTTCCTTCACAGAGCTCTGCAAGTGGTGTAGTTTGGCTGATGAATTTGTAAGTTGTTAGGAGCCAGGCTGAACAGATAATGCATGGAACTTGTCTGAGAGGCTTGTGTGGATATTTCATTTGTATTTCATGTGTTTCAAAGATGATTGAAACGGGATGCTTTGAAGATATCAATGCATATGAAACTGATGGTACTGTGTCACCAGACAGAGAGAGGTCTCCTAAACCAAAGAGAGGCTTTTTTCACAGACTTTTTAGTGGAGAGGTAAGGGTATTTCTTTTCATTCATAGGAAAATTGGCACTAAGACCTTAAAATCCACTCAGTCTTTTATATTATTTTGTGATAGGCAAAATTAGTTATTTGCTGAATACTGAAACTAATGAAATCTGGTTTATTATGGCTTTGCCCCTGCACTGCATTTCAGAAACAGCAGAAATCCGTAGAACTCCAGGAGTTTTTCCTCCCTCAGCATTCTGTCTTCCTCTAGTCTCTGCTAGCTGTTAACTGGGGAGAAGGTGGTGTGTTCTGTTAACAGATGGGGTATAGATTGTTCTTTCTTAAATATATTAATTTGGGTCTTGCTTCTTATGCATTTTGCCAGTCTCCTATAAAAAGTTCTGGGGAGATGACTTCAGAGGTAACTGAGGCCATCTCTGCAAAAACTTAAATAACATTGACTAATGAACTCAGGAGTATGGTGGAGCAATGCAACTCCTGGGACTCCTTCAGAAAGCTGGGCTCCCAATGAAGCATTTTAGTGTATTTAATAAGTAAAAATATCCCCTGAATGACTCAGTGTGAGGTGTCATGAAACAAACACTAAAACATCTTGGGTAGTTTAATGCCTTTACCAAAACAGCATAATACATGTTTACACAACTGATAATGCACAGCGTTCTCTTACACACATAACTTCTACTCTTTAGTAAATATTTAGAGGTGTATGACTTGAGTTTTTACCACCTAAAAGACACGTGGCATATTGTGCTTGTTTTTAGGTCAGGAGAAATAGGCTATTTGTAAAGGTCTTCAGTTGAAGATGTTGAACACAATTCTGCTTGTTCAGTATGCCTGCACTTAGAGCAGAATTATCTTTGAGAAGCATGAGTGTATTCTAGTAGAGAGCACTTCTGGAGAAATGACTCTTGCTTTCAAGCAGAAATGGAATTTTAAAATTGCTAGGAGCATACAACAGGGTCGTGTATTAATATTGCATGATGATATTTTTTGTCATCAGCTGGTAATTCCCCTCTCTAAAATGGTACAGTGCTAATGGAATGTATAATAGTACTCTCATTTTTAGTCCACCTTTTCAAATTCACTTTTCCCCCGCTTACAATAATGGAATCGAAGGAATGGTTAAGTGTACTGATAATGTCACACAGCTGAAGTTAAAGCTTGTGTCATACTGTAGTCTTTTCTCAACTGAATCAGCAGGTTTCAGACAGTCCCGAGATATAGTTCTATGTATTGAGAAAGAGTCCTAAAAAAAACAATATGGCTTGAGGGCCTTTAGTTGGTTTTGAAGTTGTAAGACTGCAGTTAATTGTCTTGTGAAGTTAAAAGAAGGAAGGAACTTAAGGTTAAATGAAACTTTAATGAGTTGAGATTTGGGGTTGGGTTGTGGTTTCCTTTGATATTCCCAAAGTATTTAGTTAGTATGGAATAAAATGTGCTGGAAAAAGCCATCTACCGCCCCACCCCTAGCCTTTATGTGGCCCATAAAACACACAAACCAATGATAGTGTCAGTTCTGCAGCCAAATTCTCTCTTTTGTCTTCTCTTGCAGGTCTGCTTTAAATCTGATTGCAGTGACGATGAGCAGGAGTCCTCCCGACTTTAAATTGTTTTGCTCTCATCAGAAAGGATGAGCAAACTTTAAATGTTTTATATCTCTGTAGCAAAGTGTATTATATATATTTTTTATCTGAGTTCAAGATTTTTGTACATTTGTACTTCATTTGTTTTAAGATGTATATTTTCACTAAAGCTTAATTGTACAAAACGCAATGAGTGCCATTTGAGTGAGTGTGTTTCTGTATGTATTTGATTTACCTTGATTTTTTTTTTTTTTTTTTTTTTTTTTCCTCCCAGTGGAATGAATCTAGAAATACTGAAAGGATTTTAAAGCACAGAGATATCTATGGCATCAGCGTAACTTGACTTTGTATGCTATTGGTAAAATTCTTCTGTTCAGGGCCTTTATTAGCAGTTTTTCTTAACAGTAAAATTGCTGTACTGATAAATTCCAGAATTCTGGTATTATCCAGCAGCGTGGCAGTCCTCTCTTACCTAATGTATCTCTCAAGCAACTGCTAAGGAAAAAAAGGAATTCGGTGCACTATGGCCAGCTATTATGGAACTGCTCTTTACTCTCTCACTCTGTAGAACATCTTTCTGTATTTCTATATGTATGGCGAATTCTGACCATTTAGCTTAATCCTGTAACAAACTATATTTACCCCATTCTTGTTTTCTACCCGTCTTACGTATCCTCTCTGTACAGTTTCTTGGCATGGACTTTGTGAGTAGACCCATGCCAAAATTCTGGAGTTATATTTTGAGTACTTTGTTGTCTTTACTAAAAGGGTTTATTTTTACCTGTGGGGGCACCTTTTTAGTTTTTCCTGTAAATTAAATTGTTTACAACTCCCTGTAGGATGTTACAGTTTTATAATGGGTTACAAAACAAAGCATGGGCTCATTACTAACTTCATCTCTGCTTATTATGTTGGAATGCGCAATATTATGGGGTTGACAGCAATCACTGCAACTGAGGGAAGAACAAAGTAGTATTAAGTGTCAAATTTAATTATGTAAATAATCTTTCCTTAGAACCTTTAAAAACTTAAGCATTAAAGGCAGGTTTTAATGTTTGCTTGACGCAGATGTGGAGCTGGTATTGAAGTTTTAGTTATGATTACCTGATGCTCATAAGCAAAACTGTTTCCAGCTGCTTGAAAGCTTGTCAAACTTCCCTTCTTCTGGACTCAAAGTATGCCAGGCTTTCTTTTCATCTTGTAAAGTTTCTGGTAAAACTGTTAATGTGTGTATGAGAATGAATTTAGGGAACACATTAAGAGCTGCTTCTGGTTTCAAAATTGGAGTTAGGGATTTCAAATATAATGGAACACTCTTGGAGTTGGAGACAAGACATTTGTTACATAGCTTGTTCTGTGCTCTGAAGATTTGTCTCCTCTGAGTGCGAATGTTTCTTTTTTCTCTCAAACCTCTAGGGCACCAACTAGACCACACATGTATTATACACACAGAGCTCCTGATTGTCCCTCTACCTCAAATAGGTTTGTGCTTGTGATCTGCAGACCCACTGCAAAAACTTTAAGCTGCTTCTGAAAAACTTGCAAGACACATTTGATGCTCAAGCCTATTGTCAGGTTTAAATTCACAGTATTCTGTCTCTAGTGACAAATACATTAATGGGTTGGACTTTGAATAAAGTTGGAAAACCAGTGTGTTACAGAACCCTACTGGGGATGAGGTGGTGTCTATGTGAAATTGTTCCTCTTGGCTACTGTGCCACCAAAATAAGGAATGAGTCTCTCCCTGTGTTTTCAGTGCAGTTTTCCTGATGTCTAAAACAGCAGAGGACAGCAAAATGACTGCTGTAAAAAGTGCAAAGGGAGAAACTGGCAGAGGGAGAGTGTTTGAATGAATTACTGGAAGATAGTCTGATGCAATAGTGGGAGGCTTGACAAGAAGAGAAATATCTGAAATAAGGGTGTTGGCTGGAGCCATTATATGTGAGACAATGAGCTGGCAGAGTCTGACCTGACCCTCTTTATTATGTACCACAGTAACAGAACAACTCTAAAGATGGGAATGGAGAATTGGAGAAATCATCATGTTTCTCTGATTAAGGGGTTTAATTTTTTAAGATCTTGGGTTTCCTGTTCTGAGGCAAAGGTGACTCAATTTAAACACAGGGAATATGGGGTGACAGTATGGATTTTAGTATTTGCTTAGAGCAATAATACCTGCTTGAAATTTGGGCAAGAATACTATGGACACAAGCTGAGTAATTTTTATGACGAAATTACAGGAATTGGCTTTAACAAATAAAGAAAACTTGAAAGTCTGCTTACCACGTATTGCAAATTTTCTTTCCATATTGGAGGGGGAGGGATCAAAACTTAAAAAAAATCAAATAAAATCAGATCCTCTATTCTGGAGTGCTGAGGCATAACACTCATTATTCCCCAGGGGTCTGTGAAGAAAAAAAGGCCAGATAAAAGGAAAGTTGTTCCTAAGAAATGGTTACTTACACATCCGCTCCTTCGGACAAGGAACTCCAACCATCCAAAAAAAGTAGAGGATTTGTTCATTTTTACAAAGCTTTATTTAGTTTAATTTCACTTTTTTTTTTCTGATGGTCTGAATAATGCTACTGTTTTTGAGTAACTACATGTTTGCAAGACTAGAACATATATTCTGTTGCTTGGGGGTGTTTGTGGGGTGTTGGTGGGTTGGTTTTTACCGCAATAGGCTAAAGATGGCATTTTTCTACTATACATTTGTCCCCTTTGGCTAGAAAGAAAACCACATAATACTGACTAAATGTCATCTAATGTGAATCCCCTAATGAATTGGAAAGGATGAGAAACTGAAGGATCAGCAAAACTCTCCTTATATGGTACATGGAGATTAAGATATTATGGTGTTTAAGGTGATTAACATTGCTTAAATCTCTTTACCGGAGTATTAGTAGCTTGGAGATGTATTTTGAAAGCAGGGAAAGGGTAAGGAGAGGGAAGAACATCTGGAAGTAAAACATTGTGGTGTGATAAATTTAATACACATTTTGCTCTTGGTTTCTGCAGGACAGCTGAGACAAAGAAGGGAAAAGACAGCAGGCTGTGTCTACTGATTAAGTAGCTTTTTATTTCCATGAAGTCATTCAGTGTGACTTCATTATAACTCTGTGAATTCAGATTCTAGATCCATGTGTTAAGGGCTTTAATAGCAGTGAGACAATGCAACAGCCCAAGTGCTTTGTTCTACTGGTGCAAGATTTGGAAAGACCTATGGAATTCCATGGAGTTACTTGCATGAGATGAATCCTCCTTTCCTGTGGCTTCTGTTTCCAAACATTTCTATATGTAAGTCTTAATGTCTGCTTGTGCATACCTCATGAATCTGTAATTCAGAAACTGTGAAACATGTACCTGTACCTTACTGGTTTACTTAATGCTTTTGAATGTTGTGACCAACAGAATAGAATCTTCATGCCTCAGGGTTGTCCTCTTCCTATATTAAAAAAGTCAGCTTTTGTTTTCTTCCTAGAGGCGTAGTGTTCATAATAGGGATGATTTTATGCGTCTGGATTGTAACAACAAAACAAAGTCTCAGTGGAAAAAGTGGGCACTTAAAACTAATTACTGTATAATAATAAGTAAATAGGAAAAAAAACTATGGTATTCCCATAACAGAGAGTGCTATCGACAAATCTGAGCCTTTAATAGAACACGTTGTATGGGTTTTCTTTTCCAAATAATTTTTAAAACAATAGATCCCAAGGTTTTTGTTTATGAAAGAGAATTATCTCCATCTCAAAATAAAATTGCCTAATTTGAGAAATCAGTGATTGAATCTATTAAAACCAACTGAAAATCCATTTTTAGATTGCACTTAAATTATTTTTCAAACAATACTGGTGTAAGAAACCTCTCATTGCTATTTGTCCAAACAGAGAATACTTGTTTACAAGTTACTGAAGTCAGTAGAAGTAATATGATTTTGCTTTGGTTCACAATTTAATATTACACTAATTTAACACTGGAATTATCCTTTCACATTAGTATAGATTTTTCAGAAAATACTTCTCTCTAGGAAGTAATAAAAAAAAATTGAATTAAAATTTAAGAATTAATTGGAACCATCTTAAAGCCAAATTTTATGTTTCCTTTGATTTTAATTACCTGCCTGGCTCATTTTGGTGATGCTGATGTCTCTTCTGCTGAATGTACAATCCTCTTTTAGTTCAGATTTGTTCTTATGGTGTCATTTAAGTTTTGCACATGAGATGCAGGTAACTTTCCTCATGTTCCACGTGTGTCCAGAACACCAGAATGCTGTTCAAGTATAGCGAGGCTGATTGTTCAATGTGACATGTTAGTGTTGGTATCTCCAAACTATTGAACTGTTTGTGTATGAGCTGTTTTCCTGGATGTTCTAGTAGTTATTCCTGAAATAAAAGCAAAACACTGCCGCCTGTCTCAACCACATGTACTACTGTCTAATGTGATTTCTTTACCATGTCTATCATGGTAGCCAGGATAAATAAAAGTAAAATTGTAATTTGAAACAAAAAACCCTGCAATTTGTTAAAGAAGATGTGTATTACATACATTACATCATGCATTACATCATGTATTACATGATCTTTACCAGTGCCAGATTGTCAGATCCAGGAAAAAGTGCCCTTGCTCTGTTGTATTTGCTCAGTTGATACCTTATCTCATAGTCTGATTTCTACATAAGTTTCCCTGTGAAAAGACAGTTGTCAGGATGGGCTTGTTTTTGTCAACACTTTTACTGTGGTAACACTATGAGTGTGAATGAAGAGCAGTCAATAGGAGCTGCAGCTTGTCATCAGCAGCCTTATCATGCATATTCAGTTTTATACTATTGCCAAAGGTAACTAGCCAGATTTCCCTCTCCTTGAGAGAATCTATACCTTGAGATTAATTGGATTTGTGGGTTTTGGAGGTTTTTTAATATAAAATACTTTTCAACAGTAAGCTGCTTATATTTCCAATGTTTTGTCCTCTTTATGCAAAGGTTTTCACTGTTGTTTGATGACATGAGTTGAAGGGCTAAGCACCCAATGACTGTACAAATCAGCTTTGAATTATAAGTGACTTTAACAATGATATAACCATGCTGTGACATATTGCAGATTGTGACATTATTGCAGGTCAAACTACATGGGCCAGCAGTCTCATAAAGTCTCTTGGATTACTGAATAGTACTGATTACCTGCTGAATTGTTTGTGGACATGCGGAAATGCTGCTTAAGTGTGAGTGCAGGATGGGGCAAAAAATAGTCTCAGTGTCTTTGTCCAACCTGTTATTAAAAACATTAGATCAGGAGATAACCTATGCCTAGGTAGTCTGTGGTCACATTCATGATGTTCAAATCTGTCTTGCAGACAAGGTAAAGGCCTGTTCTTTCTTTTCTCCTGGAGGTTGAGATGAATTAATCGTCATCCACTAAATTCTATGTAACCTTTTAGGTATTCACTGTTATTCCACTGAGGTTGTGATTTTATTTTTCTTTGTGGTAATGATGGCTTTACAAAAATGCCTGTTCTGTAACCCTGCCTGCTTTTTCTTGCTCCTTGCCAGTTTTACATCACTTTACTTTTGCCAGTGCAGCTGTTTGTGGGACTGCTGTTTGAACAGGATCAGTGACATGATACTTGCAGAACCACAGATCAGTAAATCTGAACTGGGAGAATATACCAATAAGGTACTTGCTGAAGAAAAATCTGATGGCCCTGAGTTCTCTTCCAGGCACCCCAACCCCAACCAGCATAGTTAATGCTGCCAGTACAATTCTGAAAGGAGAAGGAAGAGGATTGTGCCCTGGCATTTCTGTGGTGAGTCAGCAGCCCCTGGGGGACTGGTACCCGTTCTCATCTAAAGCTCCAAGACAGGTCTGCAAAGACTGATTTGGTTGGTGGCTTGTTTAACCTTTTATAAGAGCTTATGCTCTTTTTAATGTGCTTATATTTATTTCCAACTGTGGAGTGGCACAGGCAGTTGTCACACAGTGTATGCAGTATTCCAGCTATGCTGTCATCTTTCTTCATGTATCATTTGCTAAATAAAAAAATTCATGATGGCCCATATGTTCCAGAGAAAACTCTCTGCAAGCTTTAGCATAAAATAATTTGGGAAAATACTTTCTCTACCTTAAAAGCTCAAATTCTGTTACACATTTATAATTAAATAGAGGGTTTGCTCAAAGTTGCATTGCTTTCAGTACTGTAGATAGTTTTACTTTCGGAGGAATGTCTCAAATGGTTCATCTTTTATTAATGGACTAATGAAGTTAACTGGCAAGAGCACTGTTACCTACGCTGACTATTTGCCAGGAAAATGAGCAGTAGGGTAGTTCTTTCATGGCTTACGTTGGCCTGAATACCCAAAGACCGTGACCTTCCCTTCTTTTGTCCATCCTGCACGCAAGAACCAAATTCATATTAAGTCATTACTATGCGTTTATTTTCTTACAAGTCACAGACTCACGAGGAAGGCACCTCTGGAGATCATGCAGTCCAAGCCCCCTGCCAACGCAGGGCCACCTAGAGCAGATTACAGAGGTGGCCCAGAGGTGGCCCAGAGGTGTTCAGGAGGGTTTTGAGTGTCTTCAGACTAGGAGACTCCACAACCTTCCTAGCCAGCCTGTTCCAGTGCTCTGCCACCCTCAACATAAAGAAGTTCTTCCTCATCTTGAAACAAAATTTCTTGTGTTTTAGTCTATGGCCAGTGCTCCTCTTCCTGTCACTGGGTACCACGGAAAAGAATCTGGCACCTCCCCATTTCCTTTACTGGAGCCAATTTCGTATGTTTGTGATACCAGTTGAAGTGCCCTTTCCCACCAGCTATCATTTAAACCGTGTACTGACAACTATGCATAGTAAAACTGGTGGCTGGAGTTGGAAAGTTCACACTACTATTGGTTTAGTTTTAGTTAAGTCTTTTGTAATGGGACCAAGGGTGTAAATACCATACACCGTGTCCGGTGAGTACTGTGTTCAGTACGTGCTCTACGACTGCACAACGTGTGTGCCCGGGATCGCGACGGGAGCGCCGGTTCCGCCGCCAAGGTAAGTGTCCAGCTCCCGCTGCTCCACACGCCAGCCCCAGCAGCGCCTTCGGCGGGACCGCGGGCAAAGGCGCGGGGCAGCAGACTCTGCACCCAGGGCTCCCGCTGACACCCGCTCCCCCGGGTGGTGACACAACGGGCGAAGCAGAGCCCGGCGCGGGCGGAGCGGACATGGCCACCATGGAGAAGCTGATGAAGGCCTTCGAGTCGTTGCGCTCTTTCCAGCAGCAGCAGGGTCCGGCTGCTATCCCTGAGGAGCAGCTCCAGAGACCGTGAGTGACCCGCGCCTGGGGATCGGGAGGGCTCCTAAAACCCTGCAGCGGTGCCCTGTCCTGCTCTGCTCTGCTCTGTTCTGCTCTGCCCTGGGGAGGCCGCCCCTCCAGGCCGCTGGAGACCTGGCAGCCGGAGAGGCGGCCTGCCGGCCGGGCCGGAGGTTCACTCGGGAGTGCTTCCCTGTCCTTGACAGGAGGCTGTTCCTGTGGACGAGTCTGGGAGAGCTGCCTGTTCTCTGCTTAAGTTTGGTCTAGGAGTAACTTTGTGGGCAAGCACATACAGAAACGCAGCAGTATGGGTAGTAAACAGGAGGTACAGTAATGCTGTATGGGTTTCACAGGCTAGTTCTGGGAAGGGAGGCTTTCATTTCAGCTAATACTCTGCCGAAAAAAAAGGTATCTCTGCTTCCCTCTTCCAAGCCTCACTTACAGCATTAAGCCTTACAAAGGTAAAGTCTGAGCTTTGATGCATCTGGGGGGAATTGATGTGTATGTCTGTTTATGACAAACTTCATTTAAAGTCTAATAAGTTGTGTAGAGATTTAAAGAGGAATTAGTTTGTTGGTTTCTTAAGCAGTAGGGACAAACAGATCACATTCACGAGGGATTCGGGTTTCCCCTTAGTGGGAATTGCTGGAGGACAAGGAACTGTTCAGGACCACAGTGCTGCCCTGGCGTTTACCTCCCCTAAAAATAACTTCTGTCGAGCAGGTGAACAAAGATTTGTACAGGATAAATACATGAGTCATACTGTTGCTTTTCCTCTGGCTATTGGGGAGACAGGAGAAGCAGAAGGGCTGAGGACCAGGTAACTTCTAAATTGGCAGTTTCATAGTGTTTTGACAGAGGATGCTGAGCAGTGGAGCTGGGCTCATGGCCACCTGCTCCCACAGTAGATTGTGATACAGATGCCAAGTAAATTGTGATGGTTGATACTGTTTGGAGAGTGTTGTCTCAAACAATCTCAGTGCATGTTTTTGGGGCATAATAGATGGAAAAGAATCATCTTTGAGCTAATTGTTTTTAGATGCCTTGTTGGTCTGCAGGGACGAATTGCTCTGTTACGTGCAGTTTTTTTGTGCTAGTACTTCAGGTGATATGACAGGGCTTTGAGCAGTCTGGCCTAGTGTGAGGTGTCCTTGCCTGTGGCAGGAGGTTGGAACTAAATGATCTTAAAGTCCTTTCCAAGCCAAACTGTTCCATGATTCTGTCTATTTTCAATATTTGCTATATGTAATCGAAAAGAGAAAACCAAAGCAGCCTGTCTAGAAAGTTGCTGCTGAGATAGATCATGGTCTTTCAAGAGAAAGTCCTGACAGTTACTTGTCATGTTTGATGAGGGATGTCAGGCTTGGTTTGGGGGTCTGAATTTATGCCTGCTCTACTCAAAATATTAAAAATTTAGGGTTGTAGTTGTCCTTGTTGACTTTGCTTCATATTTAAAAATAGGCTATGTATTTTCAGAAAGCTGGTGGTGCATGCCCCCAGGAGCTGTACAAATTCAGTAACAGCACTAAGCCTCATAAAAGCTTATGAGAGGGTATTGTGGCAGTCTTTGCTGAACTTTCCCCAACTTTTAATGAAATACCAGGTGGCATCATGAGCATAATTCACGATACTGTCTGCTTCTGATTGAAATGGACTGGAAAGGAAAATTGTTGCTGTGTTTTCTGTGTGTTTGGGAGAGGTGTTCATCTTCTTTATGTTTCTGTACAAATAGCACTTAAATATCTTGTAGTTCTGAGTGGTCACTTGCTGTCATTCTACTTATTGTTACAAGCTTACCTGTCCATAATGAAAGAATAAATTAGTTGGTAAATAGCATAAAATGCTACTGGTTTGATCATTGTTTCATTGCATAGCAGTTTGACATTGTCCACTGGATCCAAGTAGTCCTATCACCTAAACTGGACTAGTGAGAAGCTGTTCCTCAAATTCTAGAGTAATCTCATTGTTACAGCTGGTGGATGACGTTTTTGTTGGACTTTTTTTCTATTGTAAAAGTTAAACTAGCATTAACTACCCACTGCTACTTCTTTTCCTCCCCAAATGAGCTACCTTAAATTACAACAAAATATCACCTCTACATGAATAATAATAATAAATACCTGTTGGAGTA